AAGATTTAAAATAGATTTTACTAAACAAAATAATTTGCTAGAGGGATGAGAAAGAGATTTTTTTGATGTATAATTTCGAGCATTAATTAAAGGATTTTGTGTAATTTCATCAATTATATCTACTTTACATATTGGACAATGGTTTGTTATATTTAATATTTTTTGTGCCATGTAGCCAATGACATACGTTATAAACATATCACTATGAGGAGATGGATTTTCAATATTATTTTTTATTTGAAGGAGAAGGTCATTTGAAAACGAGACATTATTATTTTTTGTGTGATTAATTTGTAAAAAATTTTTTAAATTTGTTAAAGGCTCCAAATTATCTGCTTCACAATTAAAACTAAGAGATTTTGCTGATGAAAAATTATTTAACAATAATGTTTTAAAATATGTCATAAAATGGAAACAGTCAGGATTAATGTTACGCCCTGAATGCTGTCTAGACGAACCAAACAAACATTCTAATGGATCTTGGTTAATGTTTCTTGGAATTAAAAATTTTAAATTATTAGAATGTAACTTAAGCCATATAAATTTGAAACTTTTTAATGTATCTATCCAATGTATTACACTTGGAGGCTTAGATTTTTTACCTTTACTATTAATAAATGTCATACTCTGGAATACATTAATTGCTTCATTCCAAAATTCTAGATGACCTGAATTGGTTGTGACAGCCGACCGGAGTGCTTTTCCATCCATAGCTTTCAAAGTTGAACCATTCACAGAGTCAAAGCACTTATCCATGAAAAGGCAGAAATTGGCTGTACCCAATGCTTGACTACCAAGAGATTTATTTGAAGGAGCTGAATTAATAAAAAAAAATGTTATTATTAATCAAAACAGCATTTTTTAGTACTCTAAAATAAAATAATAGGTATATAATAATAATAAAATAAAAATACACATATTATAATATAATTTAATTAAAATCTACCTATTATATATATTTAACTTGGTAAAATATTTTTCCATTGTTTATTTATATATGTAAATAGTAATTGTAGTTTGTATAAATACTTTAATACTTTTATTATATACCTAGTACCATTGTTTTTATGTGTTTAGGTAGTTTTTAATTAAATTAGGTACATTATATATAGGTTTATAACTAATTAAGATATATGAAAGTATAGAAAGTACTCTAATTTACTAACCTAGGTCACACATAAGTTTCATTGTAGACGCAACACGGTGACTGAAAACCTGACTTGCAACTGAAACTTTCATCTTTTTAATCTTGTTCTCTTCAATATGGTATTCTGTGAGTTTAGGTAAAGCTCTATAACCATAAATTTCATTATCTTTATCTAATTGGTAAAGATTCCTTATATGTTGCCATGATGCTTTTTGAATTTCTCCTTTCCATTTGAATTCAACATCCTTTATCAATAAATTGTTACGTATACCTTTTAGAAGATGAGGAGGATCATATACATGTACAATTTCTTTTTCATTCATCAAGTAACCAATATGTTTATTTTCCTCTCCATTAGATATGCAATACTTCTCAGTTTCATTTTTTAAATAATTGATTGCTGCTACATTTGTGGCCCCTTGATCTGACACTGTGGTCACAACATCTAGTCCTGTAGAAGCCAAGTTAGTTAATACTTCTTTGATACACTGCACTAAAACTGCTGTTGGAGTTGTCCCTTGAACAAAGTAATAACAAATTGGTTGTTTAAATTTCTTCTTTATACCACGGACCATAAACACCAAAACATGATCAGCAAATTTAATATTTCTGTTATTACAGCCAAAGTCTTCATACCCAAAAATACAGTCATTATATTTATCAAAATATAAATTTGCCTCTAACGCCATTTCATCAAATAATAGTGAACATTTTCTTTCCAGAGGCTTCAGATTTTCCACTTGATTTTTTATAATATGTTGAATAATATGAGGATTTATACCAGGTGTAAAGGGGACATTTTTTAATAATGTTAATATTGTTTTTTGAGATGGTAGAGAAAAAATTGAAGATAAATATCTATAACCTTTTGGGCTTTGTTTGAATATTGAAAGTGCTAATATTTTATCATCTATTGTGAATCTACGGCCTTTTAATTTACGGTTTTGATTTTTAGTTTGACTCGCTATAAAATTCAGTGTTATGGTATTAACTTTTCCTACTAATTTATTAAAATATTCTTTTTCACAGAACTTAGTAGCCATCTGCAATCTAGACTTATAGTTGTTCACACTCTTCTTCATTCGGTTAATCTTCTTCTGAACTTTCACCCCATATTGGTACAACTTTTTACAGCTTTGTTGTTTGATGGTACTTGCAGATTTTATAAATTGAACGTTACCTGATTATAAAACAGACAAAATTGTAATACATATTTTTAAAACACTAATTATATTTAATTTGCCTTACCTTTAGTTTTATGAACCATAGATGGAACATGTACATGCTGATCAACTTGTGAAATTATTGGTATTGGCGATAATGGTGTCTGGTAAAATGTGTCCGTTTCTATACCCGTAGTAATGTCAAGTAAATCGTTATCTTCGGTGTCTGTCAAAACTACCTCCAAAAAACGGTTTGATGTATTCAATGATGAATTTAAATTTTCTAGTTCTATTTCAAAACAAGTTTACAAATTAAATATTTTTAACATACATAAGTTACATACATATGTATTATACAAACACTTAAAGTTCAAAATAATACTATTCATGCATTTTTCTAACAACAATTTTTTTTTTATGTACAAACATTGTTTGATAGTGTTACTAAACAATTATATTCCATACTTGAGTAGGTAGTATTTGTAGGTTCTATCCCAGTTTTTACAATTACAGGGAGATTTAAAAACGGTTATCCACGACTTTCCCGCTTGAACGATCAGATTTGTGGGTGCTTACTATCCCAGTTTTTTACTGTTACAGGGAGATTTAAAAACGGTTATCCACGACTTTCCCACTTGAACGATCAGATTTTTGGCTGCTTTCTATCCCAGTTTTTATCGTTTTCTTTTTCCAATTCAAATGTTACTAAAAAAAAAAAAAAAAAAGAGATATTCACTCAGTGATTATTATTATTTTTTACCCATACAAATATATTTACTGTTTTCCATTTTTATCATACTGTTTTATTTTTTTCATTATTTTAACTTATATACGCAAATAGGAATTAAATAACTTGTAGACCCATGGCCTAGTGGACTAAGGCGTTGAGTGTAGAGTTTGTTAAATTTAGATTTAGGGTAAGTATGTATGTTAATACTACACCCAGTGTCATAGTCCACTATACCATGGGTCTACATTTTTTTTGTTTTTTTTTTTTTTTTTTTTCCCTGTTTTTATTCATAAACTGTAATTTTTAATTTTATAATAAATTATGTTTCAATCTTCGGGTGGTTAGATTTTGTATTAACCGTTTATAATATATAATAATAACACGCAACTTAATCTGTATCAGTTTATTAGTAACCGTTGAATTGTGTGTTATTATTTACAATGGACTTATTAAAAGAAATTGAAAGAGATATTTCAGAAATGGGTATAATTCATCCATCACATTTTTGTTACAAGGAATTAGCTGAATTGTATACATTATTATCAAAATTAAAAAGCTATGCTATTAAATGCGGGACAGAAAAAAACAATAATCATTTTACTTTATGCGCATGGTCAAATCAAAATTGTGATTGCGGACCTGATACATGTTTGTGCATTGTTATCGATTATCTGTTTATCGATTTGAAAAAAATATTGACCAATAAACAAAAATCATTAGTAAATAATCACTTTTAACTTTCATAATGTGATCAAACTGTTATCCAATGTACTATATTTGACTTTAGTTATGTTTTTACAGTGTAACAATGTTGACTATGTTGTATTTTATTTGTTTAAGTAATAATAATTTAATTAAAATTGGAACATATATTTCAATTGATAAAAAATCAAACAATAGGTGCGTCAACTTTGTCATACATTGAAATCCAAACCAAAATATCATCTTGAATTCAATAATTAAATCAATACTGCGCACATCATGGACGGCGTAATGGTCAAATCAATATTCAGCATACATCAACAGAATAAAATAAACATTTATATTGGATACCTTGTTGATCAACCTTTATCTGTAATTATTTTATTCATGCATAACGTAACTAAACGTTATCTAATACTAAATGTATTTCAATGGAGTAAGTTTATATCTGATGATAGTTTTAATATAATTATTTGTTCTTTATCCACTGTTCAACATTCAAAACGATTACATTTGGTTAATAATTTTTATTATAAAATATGTGCAAAATCTAAATCAGTTAATTTATACCATAATAATAACAGAATCACGCTATCCAGTGATAATTTAAATCGATTGAAATTATTGGAAGCGTGTATAAATGCAAATATCATAGTGTTATCAAATAAATTAGCGTTGTATCAAACTGTTTTCAATAATGCATGTATAACTATCAAGTATGATATTTTATATTTATCACCTGATTGTATTAGAAGTGATTTTAGTGATTAGTACATATATTAAAGATTATAATTTCAAAATGGATGACCTGAAGGATGAAGAGAAGTCATTTTTGCTTGAATTTCAACAAATCCATCACGGATCGTTTGCAAACATTATATTAAAGCCTGATATACCTAACCAATCAATAAAACCAAAATAATCATGATATACGGCAAGCTTACTATTTAATAATTAGATTATACCTTTATAATAAACATTATTTGTATGTATCATATTTTGTTAAATGCATACCTTTATTTAAAAAACAAATGATAATAATATAAATATATTATAAATAATCTTTAATGTTAATTGGATAAAATAAACAAAAATATTTTCCATAATATAATCATATTGTATTAATTATTGGGTTAATTGTAAGCTTTCTAAAATAAAATTGATTACAAATATTTTAATCGTGTGGTGATAAAAATAAAAATAAAAATAAAAATGCACAAATATTAGTAAAATCTATAGTAGTATAAACATAATGTTATTATTTGTAAGATTCAATTTTTTTGTCATCGTTACACATAAACTTATTCATAATTAAATCTTGTAAATTATTAAATGCTGATATTATTGTGTTGTCTGCTTTATCTTTTTAGTTCAGCATAGTTTTTGCGTTGAACGTTGAGGTTTTCCATCTATTAAAAAAAAAAAAAAAAAAAAAAAAAAAAAAAAAAATGAATGATTGTATATTATAAATGTATATATTTCCATATTATCATGAATATTTTATCATATAAACTATATAACCCAATTGTTAAGCAGTTAAATATTTTACGTACTGTGTGAATATTATTAGTATCAACGATATCATTATATATTCGCAAAATTGATTGGTTGTAAGAATCGTGTCTATTTAAATTATAAAATAGTACTACGTAAATGGTATAATAGTCTATTTATGCAAATGACATAATATGTTTCTCAAATAATTTACAAATATTGTACTTAATTGTTTTATATTAATTTTAGTGAGTGTCAATCTTAATATGATCTGTTTGTACAAAATAATAATAGTTACCTGTCTTTTGACTCTACTTTTTTTATGTCCGAAGTTTTGTATTTTTGAATAACCAAATAATCACTTGCTGTTTTGTTTTCGGGTATTTTGATACAAAAATTTCCACCATCTGATTTTTTTACGCGTATACAGTTTTCATTGACCATAGCTGTTATACCATCATATTCTTGTTCCAGTTTCAATAAATGCGACTGAAACTAAAATTAATATTAATTGATAAATATATATTTAAAATATACAATATTTTACTTGTTGTTTTTTTGGTTTAGGTTTTATAATGGTTTTGGGTTTTTAGAATTTTGCATTTGTCCATTTTTTCGATGATTATAAAGTTCCTAAATTTATATTATCATGTTTTCAACATATTTATGTATAATGTAACGTAATTAAAAAAATATTAGTGATATAATAATAATAAAAATAATTATTAAAACGGTATACGTACATCAATTTCTTCATCTTCTGAATTTTGATCGCTTGTGTTGACCATTATTAATTTCTGTTTTTTTGGTTTAACTTTCATAGTAGTTTTGGGTTTTTTAGATTTCTGCATTTGCAAATTTTTTTGATATGAATAATGATCCTAAATACAAATGATTATGTTTTAAACTAATTGTTAATAAATGGTGATAAATTAAAGTATATTAATAATATAATTATAAAAAAAGATACTTACATTAATTTCTTCATCGGCCGAATTGGATAAACTCATGTCGGACATTATAACTATGCCCTCCTACTGTTTAAAATTAACTAATGAAATTCACATTCGATCTCTTTATTTTATATAAATTAATACCTATGATATATTGTGATAGTCATGGCCAATGTCTGTTACACATGGTGTTGGTAATAAATAAAAAACTGATATACGCATTAATTTTTTTTTTGCGCAATAAACAGATGAATTAAAAGATATTTGGCATTTATCACATGGCGATCTAAAATCGTTTGATATATCCATCACTTCACTCTACACTATGTTTATTTTTACTATTTTGTACGTTAATGATTATAAATAAAATTTGATTACACTTTAAATTAAAAGATATTTGCCATTTACAACACAGTAATCTAAAATTTCATATTTTATTTGCCTTACCATAATATATGATATTGTCTATGGTAAAAATCGATTGATATATCCATTACTGCACACTACACTATTTTTTATTTTTAGTATTTTGTACGTTAATGATTATAAATAAAATTTGATTACACTTTATATTTTCATTAACATATAAGGTGCTGTTTGAAAATATAAATATAAGCTATTTTAAATTGGCATACAGTATATCTGCTTTTTCATGCTACTTAAATAGTGCGTTCATTAGATTAATAATTATACACATTGCGAAACAAGCTGGTAAGCAAGAACGTCGCATGCAGCGAGCAGAATATTTCATTGTATGTTAATTAATTATTAAGTTTAAATTTTAAAATATAATCATTTTATTCATTTTTAACAGAAATGATACCCGACGATAATCTCTGTGATGTAACTAATCTTATACATCCGAGCACAATACGACATATTGCAAAATATCCGTTTGCTCACAGTGAACGTGAAGTTTATGAATATTTTCGACAGTTGCATTCAGCATTTGTCGTGAGGGAAGTTCGATATTCATTTGATGGTAATATTGTTGATATATTTTGCTCATTTGAATGTGCCAATTATTTCAATCAGGAATATTTTGTGTCAAATCTTGTAAATTTACAATTTAATGCAATCCATATCATGTTCAAGGATATAAATGTGCTACAAACGTATTGCCAAAGACGAAGGTGCATTGTATGTCGAAAATACACCACTGTCTGTGACAATCGTAATTTATATGCTGAACCCACAGAGGATTATGTAATTCAAGTGTTTCCAATAAACAATTACACCGACAATCTACTTCGATCAACAGTTCATACATAAGTGATATTTTAATATATTTTATTTTAGTAAGGATTTGAATTAATTGTTAAGAATGTCAAAATTTAACCGCATTAAAAAAATTAACCGATTAAACACAACTGGGGAAAATTTAGTAGAAGTTGAGAAATTTAAAAATAATCGATCAAAAACTTTTTATTATAAAAACAACGAAAACCATATTGATTTATTGTCATTTTTAAATTCTACTTCTGCTTCATTAAAATCGAAACTAAAAGAACTATGTTCCTCATCAACATATAAATTTAATTTATTTGTAGACTTAGTGTATGAAAATTTAATTACGGGGGAAGTTCGGGATGTTGCATTTAAAACAAGAAATGTTTTATGTTATTTTACATCAAATTTTTCTACCCTTTTAAAAAACATGTTTGACAAATTATTAAATGAACAAGAGTCATTTTTGTTGAAGGGTTCTTCTTGGAGGCAAATTAGTTTAGATGGTCTCCAATTAAGAACAAATAAAGTAAATTTACTAGGAGGTTCCTCATTTATAAAATTACCCAAATCAATTTATAATAAAAAAGCAATAATAAACGTAATGAATTACGACAATAGTTGTTTTAAATATGCAATTTTATCAAAATTTAATGAAAAAAAAAATAAAAATAATTTTAGTATTAAATATTTTAATTTTTTAGAAAAAAAAAGTGGGCTTAATTTTAATTGTATTGATTACCCTACACCAATCAATCAAATAAAAAAATTTGAAAAAATTAATAACATATCCGTCAATGTTTATAGTTGCGATGTTAAAAATCAAATTTATCCACTTCACATAAATAATATCGAAAAATCCGACCATTACGATTTGTTTTTTTTCTCAAATATATCAACAACACATTATTGTTACATAGCTAATTTCTCAAGATTAATCAGAGCGCAAAGAACAAAACATGAAAGTAAAATAATTATTTGCAAGCGATGTTTTACAACTTTTAATGATAAACCAAATAAAAACAAGCCATGGGGGCAGCATGGGCTTGATAGACATAAAGTAATTTGCCAAAAACATAAACTTTGTAAGCCTGTAATGATTGATCCTCATGATGACAAATTTATATATTTTAATAAATATAATCGGGTTGACCGAATTCCTATTGTAATTTACGCCGATTTTGAATGCTTTTTAAAACCAGCTAATAATATCATAACAGTCAATACTAAAAACACACATTATCATAAGCCCATGAGTTATGGGTTATATGTTAAAATTAATTACAGCATCGTCCCAAGAGAGTTAGTAAAACAATTTAAAATTCCTAGAAAACCAATAATTTATAGAGGTAAAAATGCATCAAAGCATTTTATGTCAACTATAATTGATATTTCTACCAAAATGTATTATCTATATAATACTAATAAATCAATGCATAAATTAACAAAAAAAGAAGAAGGTCAATATATTAATTCGAAAAAATGTGAACTATGTTCGAGATCATTTAATAATGATACCGTATTTAAAGTTAGAGACCACTCACATCTTACAGGGGAATATTTAAGGGCTTTATGCTTAAATTGTAATTTTTTGGCACAAAAACCGTCATTTGTACCAGTATATTTCCATAATTTATCGTATGATGGTCATTTTATTGTACGCACCTTAGGTTGTAATAATAATGACATACGCATTATTCCAAACTCAGGTGAAAAATATTTAACATTTAGTAAACAAATTTTAGATAAATTTTATGTAAAATTTGAAGACACTTTTATGTTCATGTCAGAATCACTTTCTAATTTAGCTACTAATTTGGCTGAAGATAAAACAAGATTCCGCGAAATTATCCATCACTTTCCGTTAGAAAACATTGATTTAGTTATTAGGAAAGGTGTATTTCCATATGAGTATGTAGACTGCAACTCAAAACTTAAAGATACCTCATTACCACCTAGAATTAAATTTTATAATTCGTTGACGGATGATCATATTTCTAAAAAAGATTACATACATGCATGCAATGTTTGGGAGAAATTTAATATAAAAACATTAGGTGAGTACAGTGATTTATATTTATTAACTGACATATTGATTCTGGCTGATGTATTTGAAAATTTTAGAGATATTTGTTTAAAAACTTTTAATTTAGATGCCTCTTATTATTTGACAGCACCTGGTTTTGCGTTTGACGCAATGTTAAGTTTTACTGGGGTTAAACTTGAAAGATTAACAGAGTATTCGATGTTACTCATGTTGGAGAATGGAATAAGAGGGGGGGTATGCCAATCTGTAAGACGCTATGCCAGAGCTAATCTACCCGATGTTGATGGAATTAATTATAACGAAAAAAAACCGCACGTTTATTTGGCGTATTTTGATTGCGTAAATTTATATGGCAAATCAATGCTTGCAAGTTTACCATACAAAAATTTTGAATGGTATAATGATTTGACATTAGATGTTACTACCATAGATAATGATGCACCTATTGGATATATACTGGAAGTGGATGTGGATTAGGTACCCCGAAAAATTACATGATATTCATAGTGATTTACCCTTTTTGCCACACAATAGCTGTCCACCTAATTCTAAAATTAATAAACTGCTGACAACTTTAAATAATAAATCAAATTATGTAGTTCATTATAGATTGTTAAAACAGGCGATTCACAACGGATTAAAAGTTAAAAAAGTTTATAAAATAATTAAGTTTGATCAATCAAAATGGTTAGCCCCCTATGTTGATAAATGTACCAGTATGAGGGTTTTGGCAAAAAACAAGTTTGAATATGAATTTTGGAAATTACTCGTAAATAGTGTCTATGGGAAATGTATGGAGAATCCGCGTAAAAGATTGGATATAAAGTTGGTATCAGATGATCGAAAAGCTCATAAACTAATGAGACAACCTAATTTCATAGATAGGACCATATACACCAATGAGTTAATGTCTTTACATTTTCAAAAAGAAAAGATTAAATTTGATAAACCAATCTATGTCGGATTTTCTATTTTAGATATTTCGAAAACCTATATTTATAATTTCCATTATGACGTAATGAAAAATAAATACGGGAAAAAAATATCATTATTATACACTGATACCGATTCATTAATATATCGTATCAAAACAAATAATTTTTTTAATGATTTAAAATTTGATTTATTGAGTCACTTTGATACTTCTAATTTTCCAATTAATCACTTTTGTTATAGTGATAAACATAAGAACTCCCCGGATATTTTAAAGATGAATTGAAGAGTGAAATTATGACGCAATTTGTAACGCTAAGGCCCAAATTATATGCCTATACAGTAAGTGGTATTGAATACAAAAAGGCAAAAGGTGTAAAAAAGTATGTTAGAGGCAAGTATATGACAGTCAATCATTATTTAGATATTTTATCAAAGTTCAGTATACAAAATTCTCAACATTTTAATGCACAAAATGGTGAATCTAGTCAAATTAGTGCATATTGCAATATTAACTCAATACAGTCAACTAAACACAATGTTTATTCAAAAACAACCAGAAAAATAGTATTGAGTGCAAATGACGATAAACGTGTCATATTAAAAAATGGTATTTGTACTCTACCATACGGACATTATAAATTGAACTAAACAAAAATATTTAAGATTATATTTTATTACAAATCGTTATCGTAAAATTAATTAAGTGGGATATCAAAATCTAATCATGAAACAAATTGTTTAATTCGTATATTATGAAATATTAATGTACACAAAAGATAACAATAATCATTGTTTTATAAATTTAATATTTTTAAAAGTGACATAATATTTAGTTGTTTGACTTAATCTGTAGTTGATAAGTTATGGGATATGAATTAAACATTTAATAAACTGAAAAAATGTATGTTATTTAATTTGGTTACAAACCTTTTGTTAAAACTATGTATATATTTTTTTAAATATTTAAACACTACTTATATTGAATTATTTAAAAATGTAATAATTGATAAATATTATTATAATTTTGTTAATAACGATATTATATATTGTAAATTGTACATTGATTTTAAAAATAAAAATAATATATAGAATTATGTTACATTTTATACTTTATCATTTAATTTTGAAATTTATTGTTAAAACCTGTAAAATTATGATTTTATTTTTTGAATCTTGTATAACTAAATTATTTGAAACAATGTGTTGTACTAACCTAATTGTGAATCAAGTTTATCATTTTTATATAAATCTGATCGCTTATTATCCCGTGCTAGTAGAATACATCTGTATGTTTACAGTTCATTGATCCCCCCCCCCCCCGTGTTAATAACATAGTGATTAAAGACTTAATCTAGGTCTCTTTCCAAGGGTCACCGATTTACTGTGTTACATATAACTGAGATTACACTCCATGTTGTAAACCTATTTATTCGTTACACAAAATTATTTAGTGTATAGTGTATACACATCAAATGTTTACAGGTTACACTATAGTAAAAATTATTTTTTTATCAAACCTTACTACAAAACTAAATAATATTTAATGTCAATATGACAAATTAATAAATAACCATTTTTATATTGATACAAATTAGTTCTGAATTATAATTACACAAGTTTTCTTACTTCTCTAGTAAAAGGTACATATTCCACAATACGATCATGAATTAATAAACAATAAGCAGTTACACCCGTAAGTGATTCTGAAGCTTCAATTTCCAATTGAACATCCAATGCCGAGGCTGTGGCTGAATCGTTCTGTTTCGAAGTATCAATGACTATAATGGGGGCATTTGTTAGAAAAGTAGAAGGACTCAATATTGGATTCCGTATACTTTTTTCATAGTACGATTCTTGAAACGATGTATACATATCATATAATAAGGTGAAATTATTTTTTGTAAAATCTAAATTCAAATTATCGTATGGATAAGCTATTGAGTTCAGAAATACTCTAACGTTTGTTAGATTACAATGATCGAATATACTACAATCTTTTAAGAACGTATTTTTACGCCCTTTTTGCAATCCAATTATGATAAATCTTGGTTTTTCTAATTTT